TATTTTCCTGGGGATAGTCGATTAATTGTGTCTGTTTCCCCCCCCCCCCTTCCTGGCTTCTGTCGAGCACACGCCAACTTGGACCAGGGCTCCGGGGATCCGGCGCGTGGGCGTCAGATCCACGGATCAGGGAACGCAGCCCCTGCAACGCGGGGGCCGATGCCGCATCACTCGGCGACGGAGCGCGCCGCTCCTGCGAGGAAGCGGGACCCGTCGCTAGTCCACGAGCCCTTGCCCCGTGCCTTTCGCTTCCTCGATCCTTGCTGACCTCTTCTGGCACCCGCAGATCTTAAAGAGGATCTGACCGCATTTCGTTGTTGTTGTTGTTGTTGCTGTTGCTGTTGTTGTTGCTGTTGCTGTTGCTGCTGCTGCTGCTGTTGTTGTTGTTGTTGTTGTTGTTGTTGTTGTTGTTGTTGTTGTTGTTGAGCTCTCATTTCTGAAGAATAATTGTTGTTGGTTCCCCCCGTCCAGTGCACATTTTTTTGTTTCGATTGAAATGCCCCTCCCGGGGCTCGTTCCTTGTTTTTTATCAAGGAAAATCTTGAAGGTCAAACTGTGTCGTTGGCCCCCTGTTTGCAAAACAACGGCTCCCGCCTGAGACTTCCTCGCAACTTAGCCAGGACCCCCGCTCCCGCCCGAGACTTCCTCGCGTTTTATCCAGGAATCGCGCTCTCTCCCGGCGCTCTGGAGTCGCGCTCTCGCTGGAGACTTGCAAGGGATTTGCTGAAGAATAGCGCCGTTGCGTTGGAATTTCCTGCAATTTGCTCAAGCGCCGCGCTCCCGACACCCAGGCACCCAGGAGTCGCGCTCACGCTTAGGACTCCCTCACAGATTACATAAGAATCGGCATCTCGTTGCCCTTCGTGGTCTCGTTTCAGCCCTTCGTGGCCCCCTCGCTTTGTTTCGTGGCCCCCTCGCTGTCCTTCGTGGCCCCGTTGCAGCCCTTCGTGACCCCCTCGCTGCCCTTCGTGGCCCCGACGCAGCCCTTCGTGGCCCCGTTGCAGCCCTTCGTGGCCCCCTCGCTGCGCGTCGTGGCCCCGTTGCATCCCTTCGTGGTCTCCTCGCTGCCCTTCGTGGCCCCATATATGTATGCCCCCGCTCGTTCGCGCCCGTGGTGGCCCCATATGCATATGTCATGCGTGGCCCAGTTGCTACCCTCAGTGGCCCCATCGTTGCCTTTTGTGTCCCCGCATTATCTGCCCTTCGTGGCCCCCGCTCGTTCGCGCTCTTCATTGCCCCATACGCGTTCCCTTCGTGTCCCCGCTGGTGCCCTTCGTGGCCTACTTCGTGTCCTTGTGGCCCTGCTGTCGTTCTCTTTCGCTCTCGCTTTCGCTCGTCGCCGTCATCGTCGACGTCGTCGTCGACGCCGTCGTCGTCGACGTCGTCGTCGTCGTGGTCGGTCCCCTGTCCGTCCCTCTTGGGGTCGGGTCGACGGTCCGCGGTCGCCCCGCCGATCAGCGCTGCCGCTGGCCAGGCCGACGGTCCGCGGCCGCCCCGCCGCTTGCCCGGGCCCGGCGTGCAGGGAAGAAAGGTATACCCCCCAAAAGGGGCTCGATCGAAGACGAAGAGGGCGGGTATCGAGGGTTTGGGAAGTAGGCGTTATTGGACACTCGAGCAGATAAGGGCGAACAGCCTTAAACTGATTGTTGTTGTTGCTGCTGCTGCTGTTGTTGTTGCTGATTTTTTCCAGCTGCGGGGAGCCGCGCGGCGCAGAGGCCCGCCGGGCAGCGCCCGGCTTGGGGGCCCGCCGCAGGCCCCGGCCAGCTCTCGGCGTCACCGCCGCGGCCTGCGAGGCGCTCGCCCGTCGGGCCTCGGTGGCCGCCCGCCCCGAAGGGGGCGCCGCGTGGCCCGGGCCGAGGGCGCCGGAAGAGGTCCGTGCTCCTGCCGCTGCTGCTGCCCCCTCGTCGTCCGCCCGGCTCCCGCTGGCCTCCCTCCCTGCTCATCCTGCCTGCCCCTTCCTCAGCGCTCCCCCTCTCCCTTCCCACCTCGCTCCTCGCCGCTCCTCCCTTGTCGCCCTCCTGCCTCCCTTCCCATCGTTCCGAGGAGCTTCTTCTGTCTGCTCCACCTGCCTCTCTCTGGGTTGCCATTCTTCTTAGTACTCTTGACTCTTGTGAGGTTCCTCTTCCTCCACCTCCTCCTCCTCCTCCCAATCCTCCTTCTCCCTCCTCCTCCTGCCTCTGCTCCTGCTGCTCATCATTGCCGCCCTGCTCCTGCTCCTGCTCCTCCTGCTGCTGCTCCTCCTCCTCCTCCTCCTCCTCCTCCTGCTCCTCCTCCTCTTCCTGCTCCTCCTCCTGCTCCTCCCCCTCCTCCTCCCCCTCCTCCTGCTCTTCCTCCGGCCGTCACAGCCGCTCCTCCTTCTCTGCCGCCCCGTTCCCTCCCCCTCCCCGCTCCTCCTCCGCGCATGCGGGGCCGAGGCGCCCCTCCCCTCCCCCCCAAGGCGGAGCGGCGCCTCCGGGGGCGATCTGCCCTGCGGGCGCTGCGGCGGCGCCTGCTGCCGCGCCTCTCGGGGGGGGGGGGGGGGGGTCGGCTCACTCGGCGCGGGGTGCCGAGAGCCAGGCAGAGGTCGGGCAGGTCCCCCTGCAGGCGGATCTTGGGGGAAGCATAGAGCCTGGCCAACGCATGCTCAAGCATAGTCAACCACACATGGCAGAAAGCTCGTCCCCCGACGATTTTTTGTTCTGCTGCTTCTGAACACAGTGAACCCGTGTAGCAAGGATGCGCGATGAGGAGGTAAGGGCCTCGGACGCCAGCTTCGAAGCTGTTCGAGCGGGGCGCGGCCAACGAAAGTGGCCGAGGATGGATCGAGGAGGCAAGGACACAAGGGAAGGTTTTTGAGTATGCCTCCTGCAGAGTGGCGCGCCCGACTTGAAACGCCAGGCCTCCGTGGAGCTGCTGGCAGAGAGCGCGCGCCAGCGCTGCCCGCGAGCCCGCCGTTGGCCCGGGGGTGCCTCGCGCAGGCCACCCCCGCACGGGGTTCGGCGGCGACGACAAGGGCGAACAGCCCAGGGGCGGGCATCACACGTATTCGCCCGGGAGCCTTGTCGAAGACATAGACCATCGGCGCCCCTGGATACATGTACTGCTCTCCCCGGGGCTATTCGCCCCTATCGTCGCCTCTGACTTGAGCACTCCTGCTGTAGAGGGGCGTGCCCGACTGAAAGAGCCAGGCCTCTGTGGAGCTGCTGGCAGTGCAGCGCGCGCCAGCGCTGCCCGCGAGCCCGCCGTGGGCCCAAGGGTGCCTCGCGCAGGCCAGTCCCGCGCAGGGGCCTCTGCACAGGAGCAAGGGCGCCGTCGAGCGAGGAGGAGGAGGAGGAGGAGGAGGAGGAGGAGGCGGCGGAGGAGGAGGAGGAGGAGGAGGAGGAGGACGAGGAGGAGACGAGCGTAGAGGGAGTCCCAGGGTCGATCCACCCGCCTAGGAGCCCCTCGGCACCTGGCGCTTCTCAACGCCCGTGGCGGAGGAAGACGAGGCGAGCGGACGCGCCTCGAGCGCAGGCGAGCGGGGCGCGCCTGCTGTTGTAGCTGGTGCACACGTGGTCGACGATGCCGTCGAAGTGCCGAGATTCGTTTCAATCAGAGAGCTTATTTCAATCTGCACAGGGAGCGCAGCGGTCTTTATATTCGGAGGACAGGGAGCAGCAGCAGGAGGGATCGAAGCAAAGGAGGAGGGAAGGAAGGACAGCGACGGGCAGGCGTGCACACTGTTTTCGGCGCACACGCTCACGCCGTCCTGTCCGCTGACCCCTGTTACGGGTGGGAGGCCACTCCACAGGTCGGGACGACCAGCGTTGGAACACTCACGCGAATCCCAAGAGGCGCAGACCCCAAACAGGCCAGCACGGGGAAACGCGGCGGCGGCACGAGCAGGAGGCGGCGGAGCACGCGGGGTGCGAGCACTGTTTGGAAGCTCCCCGCAGAAGGGCCCTCCAGGCCGAAACGCTGGGCTCACAGGAGCGCTGGCAAGGCTACCGAGGCTCGGGAGGCTGGGACCCACACCACCAGCAGCCACAAGCTCAACGGGTCCCGCGACCAGTCCAGGGGCACAGGCATCGTCGGGGTTTCGAGCGGGTACCTCAGTACGAGTGGATAGAGGCGAGCAGCCAGCAGCATAGTGGTAAGGTACGATCACAGACGGGGCCGCTCCAGGGCCAGAGACAACCGCCGAACCCGAAGTTGAAGCCGTACCCGAAGCACACAAGGCCGAGCTCGAAGTGTCTGCAGGGAGGACGCGCCCAGAACCAGCTCGAGACGCCAGCTCACAATTCACTCCTGAGCCCTTATTTCCATCAGAGGCGGTCGACCTCCGTGCAAGAGACGTGATCTCACAACTTACTCCTGAGCCCTTATTTACATCAGAGGCGGTCGACCTCCGAACTCGAGACGCAAGCTCGCAACTTACTCCAGAGCCGTTATTTCCATCAGAGGCGGTCGACCTCCGCGATCTAACGCCAGTGGCCGCAGGGCTCGAGGAGCACCCTGCAGCAGAAACCTGTAAGAGGAAAGAGGCAGGGTCGTCGTCTCCAACTCCGTCGGCGTCATCACCATCTTCAGAATCCATTGCTGAGACAAGTGAAGCAAGGTAGCGGACCGATCCGTTGGCAGAGACGGTGGGCAGGACCTCGCCTCCACCTCTGTCCACAAGGAAGTCGCGTACACGTTGTGGCGCAGCCGGTCCCATGTATTGCCTCATCTCTCTGCGTATCTCACGAAGTGCCTGGTAATGTCGATCAGCCGCCTCCTCCCATCGCTCGTGTCGAGTCAAGGCGTGGCGAGGGTCATTCAGCCTCCGAAGGTATGCCACAATGTTGAGGCGCCCCTCAAGAGAAGTGTCCCAGGCAATCGTGCAAATATGACGAGCAAGTTCGTCGAGTGTGCCACCCCAACCAGAAGAATCCACCCAATCCAACGCGTCTAATTTGGCGCGCACGTACGGGATGCACCACAGCAACCAGTCAGCACGGCCACTCTCGGGGTCATCCAGGCGCAAGACCCAGCGCGTAGCCCTCGACGCAATACCTTCGGCAAAGACAGCTGGTGGTGCATGCTCCGGAGGGGAAGAATGCGGATGGCCAGCAAGATTCAGAACAGGAGTACCAGGTGACGGCGTCGACATCGGAGGGGTGGCAGCGCTAGAGCACATCAACTGTTCAGGAAGAGCAGGGTCCTCTCGAACAGGGAGCCCACCAGCACGAAGGCGTTCGACACGCTTGATGGTCGCTCGATATTCACGCTCGAGCCGTGTCACATCCACCTCACCTGTGGTTGGGACAGTCAGCGTCGCTGCACGGACCGCGGAGAGCGCCACGGTGGCGGTCAGCGGCCACGAGAACATGGATGCCGCAGGCTGCGGCGAGGTTGCCGCGGAAACGGGCGTCCGCCCTTTCACGACCTGCCCTGAGGGCAGGGCCTCGCACTGAGCCAAAGCGCCAGCAGACAAGGGCACAGGGGACTCTGGCTGGAGAGCAGGTTGGCCGTCTTCATCTGAGCCCGTGGGAGAACCCGAAAGAGCACCACCGCGCACCGAATAACTATGCCTCACATCGTCGTCAGACGGAGTGGGTGGGACCAGGCCAGGGGTAGGGGCCGCGGCGTCGGAGCTCAAGCTGGAGGTGGACGAGGAAGTGAGCACATCCCACTGAGGCTGCCTGCGGCGGATCGCCTGAACATCGGGAGGAGGTTCCCACCGTTTCAACTTGTCTGAAGGTCTGGCCAGACGAGAGGTGCGGACGGCGGCCTCAACATAACCGCGTAGCTGACGAGGAGTCGACACGAGCGCACCCTGGCGAGCATGGTTGAAGACCTGGTAATAGACATAGAGAGCCTCGAAGTGGTCAGGGTGGGGATGGGTAAGGCCAAGACGCCGAGCCAGGGGACGAGGCAGGGCACGTTGTAGTCCCTTGCTGACTGCCTGGTACAATTTAGGGCAGCGGAGATAATGCTGCTGCCGATCTGGGCCAGGGCATCCGAAACGGCAACGAAGTTTACCCCGTGGGTGGATAATCCTGTAGGACGTCAGCCATCCATGCCCCCAAGTCCGTAAGGCCGCCATAGCCCAGCTTTGCGGGACCAACGCCAGAAGCTCCTGAATAGCGGGCCAGTGGATCTGGTTGAGGAAGGGGTGGTAAGCCGTGAAGAGCGGGGTTAAGTGGCGAATCAGCATAGCGTGCAGAGGTTTGTGCATACACATATTCTGACCCAGTGAGCGAGCAGCCGCACGTTGTAGCTTGGGTCTTCGTGTCGCAACCTGAGCTTCCTCACGAATAGCCGAACGAGCGGCGACGAGTAGGGGCTCCTGAGACCTCACGTGGACCAGCTCAAGGTGTTCGACGAACGCAGGGGATTTCCAGAACGCTGGATAGACACGAGAGCGATCCATAGCAGCCAAAGGGATAGCATCAAACTTCCCCTCCACGACCTCTCTGTGCCAAAGCGAAGCCGTTTGCCGCAGCAGCCGCAGGTATTTCTCATAGCCCTGGAAGGTGTGAAAAGCAGCACGAAGATGAGCAGCAGTAGCGTGGGCAGCCCACGATGGGATCTGAGGACCACCCCAGGTCGGGAGCTCCAGGACCGATTCGTTCGAAAAGAGGCCGAGGGGAGCACGAAGAACTTGGGCGATAGCACCACGCTCAATGGGCAGGAACCATTCGGGCATAGGAAGGAATTGGGCAACATAGGCCAAACAAGGGTAAACCCGCGTGCGGTATAAGATACAGTTAGTACAGACCGACGCAACCCCACGTCCCAACATCCGAGAGCGAGATCGTGCCTTCATGAGCGGGCCCCTCCAGTTCATGTCGACCGTCGCATCAGGGCCCAAGATCATCCCAAGATAAAGTAACCACCCCTCAACAGCAAAGCCTGACCAGGCACCCGCGATCGAGGCCAGCTGGGCCTGGGTCATAGTTTTCAGGGTTTCGGTCATGCAGCCAACGAGAGGGACCAGGGTGCACTTGCTGATCTTAATCTTGAGGCCCGCAATCTTTTCCATGACACCGAGGACCCGCACCAGGATACGCAGAGAGGCCAGCTCATACAGGACAGCACCTAGGTCATCGGCACAAGCACGGCATATCCCCAGCCGACGATACTCGATGCTCCGCTCGAGGTCGGCCAGCATGGGAGAGGAGGCGAGAGCATATAAAGACCCCGAGAGACCACAGCCCTGGATGATGCCCGAGCGGATCCAGAAGATGGTCGCGTAGCGTCCCCCATCATGGACCACACCTTCCACTGCCAAATACATCCATCCCACAAAAGCAAGAACCTCGGCGGGGAGCCCAAGAGAGCCCAACAGTTGTAGCAGGAAGGCCTGCGACAAGCTCGGAAAGGCCTGCCCGTAGTCGAACCCGACGAGGACAGGAGAACGGCGCTCAGCAAGGGGATGTTGAGATGCAAGCCGAGCATGGGCATCGAGCTCAAGCACGTTATGGCAAAAATTCCGTCCTCTGATGAAGCCTCTCTGGGAAGCAGGTGCCACGGCTTGGACGACAGGCTCGAGGACCC